AAGTGACTGAGAGTAGGTTCAGGCTAGATATCAGGAGGCGCTACTTCACTGTCAGGGCGGCTAGGATCTGGAACCAACTTCCAAGGGAAGTGGTGCTTGCTCCTAACCCTGGGGGTCTTCAAAAGGAGGCTGGATAATCACCTAGATGGGGTTGTTCGACCCCAGCATTCTTTCCTGCCCACGGCAGGGGGTCGGACGTGATGATTCACTCAGGTCCCTTCCAATCCTACCAACTATGAAACTATGAAAAATAAGATATCTAAAACACAACGAGATGTTCACACAGATCACACAGTAAAGGATGATGCAAATCACCAACATTCATGTCCCAAGATGAGGAAGGGATACAACAGTGAACTGTGTAGGGAAATAATGTGCCTAATACACTTGCCCAAATTTTAACTGAAGAGAGCTATTGTGAAAATATGTTCAAAGGACATACAATATAAATCTCCGAGTTAAAGAAACTCAAGGAGTTAATTAAAGAGGCCAAATCATCAGGCAGTATGACAGTCGGTGCAAAGCTAAAAAGTACATTATTGCAGTCCTCACAGTGAAAACTGAACACCAATGGTTTATACATTAAAGGTGCTAATAAAAACTGAATGTCAGTATATTCAAATAGAGAGAGGCATTGAATTATAAAAATAATTCATGTTTTTATTAATAATAACTAAGTGTTAACTGAAATTGGGCATTGCAGAAAGCATCTTTAACCCACTTACCACAAATACAGAGATTATTTTTCAGCTATAAATACAATTTGCTGTCTGAATATTATCATAGATACACTCTACTTTCTACAGTGTTTGACAAAATACAATGCAACAAAGTCAACAGCTAGATTATATACCTGTAATTCTGATTTAAAAAAAAGATAACAACCTATCTGTCATCAGATGAAATGTGGACTGTAATGGCCAGAGCTACTGCTAAGGATGAGACACTGAAAGAAGTGACACTATTAGCACAGAGTGGTTGTGATAGCATATCCACAGCCCTATGATCAGTCTAAGAGAGAACCTTAAATAATAGATTGGTTTTTATTTAAAGGCACTACAGTGATAATTTTGAAGATGCTACAGAAAAATATATTTAAAAGGATACATTAAAGTCATTTAGAAAATCTAAGAGAACACTCAGAGACATTTTATGTGGGTTTAATATGAAGAGTGACATTCAGGAAATTATTCAAGGTTTTCACATTTAAAAAAAAACCATAGACGAAATAAAGTGTAACAGCCCATGTTACTGGCTCCCTAAAGCTGAGTAGGTATACCAAGAGCAAAGATGGCATTTACTTGTTTAAGGCTTCCCTGAGGTAACCTTACTTGAAGATACTACAACTGAACAGTCAATCATACATACAAAATCCATTCTTTCTAGATATGATATACCTTACACCAGAATGTCTGATGCAGATCCACAGTTTAGTGAGAAGGGGTTTAAACAGTGTACAGTGAAGTACAAGTTCAAACATGTAACTGTTAGCTCACATTATCACCAATCTTACAGGCTGGTGGAATACTTTGTTACAATAATTAAAGCATTTACTAAAAAAGGAATGCAGAGTAAGACTCTGATTTTTAAATAGCAATAGCAAATCACGGAAGTCAGTGAACCAAGAATGGTTTGTCATTTAATGACATTTGGTTCAGGAGAAAACTGAAAAGAAGAATGCCCATTCTATTAGAAACTGATGCTAGAGTCTCTGAGAACCTACAGCTGTATGAAGAGGCTCATAAGGCAAAGCAAAAATCCTCAACATGATTGAGTCTACCCCAGGAGCTGCTGCTACTTTGTGAAAATGGTGCTGCATATATCCCCTATGGAAAACAACGGTAGCAAATAGTATTGATGTCATAAGAAGTAGCCTCGCATCTGTATGGGTTATCAATGCAGATGGGTAGGTAAATGGAAGAATAGACAGCATCTTCCCCAAATTGTAGGAGACACAACAACACGAAACACTGAGTCAAGCATCTTTCCTGAGAAGGTCTCAGGCAGACAATCAGGACAACACACTGAAATAGTCCTAAGGCCATGACTCAATTGGAATGTATGGACTTATCAACACCTGGTATGACTGGTGCTAATAGCTCAGGGGAGGTTCATCCAAAAGCACCCAACACTTCAAAGAAAAACTAAACATTTCTCCTTAAACATCCAAAGTTCTGAAGCATATTAATTATTTTTTAATTGTCATTAAGTTTTTAATTGTTATTGTCAAGAGGTAAAACTGGGCCCTTGAGCACCCTCACGGTGGCACAGTATCAGCTTCCCCAGTCCAGCTGGGGAACAGGTATGAGGCCCTGGTGACACTGGCGGAAGAGGAAGGTGAGGAGGAAACCTCTGCTGAGGAGGTCACTCCACGCACAGAATGGGCTGAAGAAGGTAAGTTGACCCGGAAGAAGAGACGCCAGGTACTCATCATAGACGACTCCATCCTGAGAGGAACAGAGGGTCCCATCTGTTGCCAGGATCCCATGACACACGAGGTTTACTGTCTGCCTGGAGCGCAGATTCAGAACGTGACAGAGATGATCCTGGCCCTCATCCGGCCCACTGATTACTACTCCATGGTCCTAATCCATGTGGGCACTAACGATGCGGCCAGGAGCAGTCCAGATGGCCTGATGAAGGACTACCAAGCTCTGGGGGGCAAGCTGAAGGAGATAGGGGCACAGGTTGTCTTCTCATCAATCCTTCCAGTGAGTGGAGGTGGAAGATGCCATGGGACCTGCATCTGGGATGTCAGCTTGTGGCTTCAGGAATGGTGGCTTGCAGCAGGCTTCAGCTTTCTGGACCACGACCCACACTTCAAAACAAGAGACATGCTCGGGTGGGATGGGCTCCACCTCTCCCCCAAAGGTCAGTGTGTTCTCTTTCAGGTTGGCTGATCTCCTCCGGCAGGCTTTAAACAAGGTTCATTGGGGGAGGGGGAGGAAAAGGACCAAAGGAGCCACGGAACACTGAACCAGAAGACACCCTCAAGAACAGCCCGGCCAAGATAGGCGACAACCACAAGAAATACCCAAGTAAGAGACAGGGGCCCGGATAGTCCTGGGATTGGGGGGAAGCCCAATTGGCTCAGGAGGCCTCAAATGCCTCTACACTAATGGTTGTAGTATGGGGAACAAGCAGGAGGAACTTGCCCCCCTGCTAGCTAACACAAACCCAGACATAGTGGGACTCCATGAAACTTGGTGGGATCCAATGCACGACTGGGTGGTAAACATCAAGGGCTATAGGATGTATAGGCAGCATAGAACGGGGAGGAAAGGTGCAGGTGTGGCGCTCTACATCAAAGACCAACACACATCCTCAGCAAACAGCACTGGGTCTGAGGTAGGGCAGACTGAGGTGCTCTGGGTCAGAATACAAGGGGGTCCAGGGGAAAGGGACCTAACGGTGGGGGTCCACTATAGGCCACCTAACCAGGGAGAAGAGCTAGACTGGGAATTCTCAGGTCAGCTCACGGAGGCAGTTAAGTCAAGGGACGTGGTCATTATGGGTGACCTAAACTACCCAGACATCTGCAGGGAAGAGCAGTCAGCCAGGTCTGACCGCTCATGTAGGTTCCGAACCCAGTTACAGGACCTCCATCTAACCCAGGAGGTGCACAGTCGCACCAGGGGAAATGCCTTGTTGGACCTGGTGCTGGTCACAGGCGATGACCTGGTGAGGGGACTGTGGATGCTGGACCACCTGGACGATAGCAACCATCACCTACCAGAATTCACCATCCAGCGCAGGGTGTCAAAGGCCTGCATCAAGGCAGCAGCCCTGGACTTCAGGAGAGCGGATTTCAATGAGGTAAAGAGACTAGTCAGGAAGGCACTGAGGTCCCAGAGGGAAGGGGAGTTGGGAGTCCAAGAGGAGTGGTCGTTCCTTAAGGAGACGATCCTCCAAGCCCAAAGCATGACAATCCCCACGCAGATCAAAGGGGGAAGAGCGCTCAAAATCCCCCATGGCTCACCAAAAGCAACTAGGAACATCTCAAAGCCAAAAAGGAGGCGTACACCCAACGGAAGGGAGAAGCTGTCACCAAGGGGGCGTATACCTCCATTGCTTGAGATTGTACGGGGGCTGTTAGGAAAACTAAGGTGGAGATGGAACTGGGACTAGCAACCTGGATCAAGGATAACAAGTCCTTTTTTAAATACGTAGGGGGTAAAAAGAAGGTACCAAGTAACATGGGGCCTCTGCAGGACATGCTTGGTAATCTGGTGGTACCATCAGGTGACAAAGCTAATCTCTTCAACAGATTCTTTGCTTCCATTTTTCTGAGCAGGGACAGGTACATCCCTCCCACTGGGAATCCGGACAGACTCAGGGGAGGTGCAGCCAGGCCCAGCATCAGTGAGGACCTAGTCAGGGAACTTCTGGAGTGACTAGACATGTAAACATCAGCAGGTCCCGATGATCTCCACCCCAGAGTGGAGAGGGAAGTGGCAGAGGTCATTGCGGGACCCTGGCACAGCTTTATGAGCACTCATGATGCTCTGGTGAGGTGCCAGAGGACTGGAAAAGGGCCAATGTGGTCCTCATTTTCAAAAAAGGGAGGAATGAGGACCTAGGAAACTATAGGCCTGTTAGTCTTACCTTGGTCCTGGGGAAGCTCTTTGAGAAAATTATCCAGGAGCACATCTGTGAGGGACCAGCAGGGGAGATTATGCTTAGAGGCAATCAACATGGGTTCATTAGAGGCAAGTCATGTCAGACCAACCTGGTTGCCTTCTACAACCAGGTCACAAAAGCCCTGGACACAGATGTCACGGTGGACATAGTCTTTCTGGATTTTAGGAAGGCCTTCAACACCGTCTCTTACCCCATTCTCATTAAAAAATTAGGCGACTGGTGTTGGCGCCTACACAGTCAGATGGGTCACAAGTTGGCTGAAGGGCCACACCCAGAGTGGTGGAAGACAGGTCATTTTTGACCTGCAGGGACGTGGGCAATGGGGTTCCCCAGGGTTCGGTCCTCAGGCCCCCACCATTCAATATCGTCATCAGCAACTTGGATGAGGGGGCAAAAAGCACCTCGTTCAAGTCCGCAGATGACACTAAGATGTGGGGAGAAGTGAGCACGCTAGAAGAGAGGGGCAGGCTACAACTAGATCTGGACAGGTTACAGAGGTGGACAGATGAGAATAGGAAGGGTTTCAATACGGACAAGTGCAAGGTATTGCACCTGGGGAGGAAAAACCAGCACCATACCTACAGGCTGGGGAACTCCCTTCTTGTCAGCACAGAGGCAGAAAAGGATCTTGGAGTTGCTATTGATTCCAAGATGAACATGGGCCGCCAATGTGGGGATGGAGTCAGGAAGGCTAACCACACCTTGTCATGCATCCACAGATGCATTATGAGCAGATCCTTCCCCTCTGTGTGACACTGGTCAGGCCACAGTTGGAGTACTGTGTCCAGTTCTGGGTGCTGCACTTCAGGAGGGATGTGGATAGCATCAAGAGGAGGGCCACTCACATGATCAGGTGGCAGCCGGACAGGCCCTATGAAGAGAGACTATGGGACCTGAACCTTTTCAGCCTACACAAAAGACGACAGTGGGGATCTGATGGCCATCTACAAACTAGCCAAGGGGGACCAGCAGGAAATGGGACAGTCCGTGTTTCCCCAAGCACTACCAGGAGTTACAAGGAATAATGGCCATAAGCTGACCGAGAGTAGGTTCAGGCTAGACATCAGGACGCACTACTTCACAGTCAGGGTGGCTAGGAGCTGGAACCAACTTCTTAGGGAAGTAGTGCTCACCTTTACCCTGGGGATCTTCAAAAAGAGGCTAGACAATCACCCAGCCAGGGTCGTTTTACCCCAGCATTCTTTCCTGCCCATGGCAGGGGGTTGGACTTGATGACCTGCTTAGGTCCCTTCCAACGGTACCAACTATGAAACCCTGGGCAGCAGCCATGCATAGGGCAACACCATTGGCCGTGCTGCTGCTAGCATAGTGGTAGCAATGCAAGAAGTACAGCTACTCCTGTTTTGTGCCTCCAGGGGGCCCCAGCTGCTCCTCCTTTGTTACGCTACTGGATATTATAATGTCTGTAACATAAGCCTCTGCACAATACACAAATGATTCTCAGTTATAACTTGGACCCTGAAAGAAGCACACCTCTGCCTGACTGCTTGGCCCTGAATGATTACTGAATTCAGGTTCTAATGAAGAATAATAAATGACAGGCATATTTTCCTGTCCAGAAAAGTAAAATAATCTCTCAGTGCCATTTGGACTAAGTGCCAAATTGCTCCGCTTCCTCAGGGTATAATGCTATATCAGAATAAGTTTGATTTTTGTAATATGAAAAGCACTAAAAATTATTAACCAAAAGAGATAATAAGGGAGTCAAGAAAGTGTGCCTTAATGAAAGATGGTCATTCTGGACCTTACAAAAGGGGCCTGTATTTTTTGATTCACATAGAATAGTTTTTTATGAATTACAAAGGATATGATTTATGGGTATAATTATCTATGAAATTCCTTGATTTCAAGAAAGCGTGTTATCATATATCAGAACAATACTGGCCAGCAGATGAAAGAGAAGATGCTTATAAATGAAAGTGATTCTGACTGAACAGTAATTAATAGTGGAATATTACAAGACTGAAGTCAGAAAATTCCTAGGTAATATTAACTGAAACAAATGAATGTGTAGCACAGTTCTTAACATTACCTTATTAAAAGCAACCACAGTTCTATGATACATAACAGCAGCAAACCCAAATGGTAAGATTCAATTTAGCATCTATCCATAGTATTACTGGAATAAGTCTTCCCTTATAATGTTGTTACTTAACAATTCTTAAACATTTAAAGAAATCTGAAGAAAATTTCAAGAAGAAAGGAAAAATTTAAACGAAGTTATACCTCTAATTTTGCATCATTTGGTTAAGAGAAAATGCATTTATATTTTATAGTTTGGAGGATTTTTTCCCCCCAAGAAAAAAGCCAGTATATGTTTTCTAACACCCTAATACTCAAAGCTAATATATCACTGGGCGTGTCTACACAGGCATTAATGCACGATTGCTGCTATGCATTAAGTTTAGTGTCTCTAATATGAGGTATTAACTAAACGCACAGTATTCGGTGATACTACGCAGTAGCAAAAGCACATGGTCTTCTCATGACGCTTAATGTGCAGTAGACTAATTCTACTGCGCATTGGCACGGCTTTTGCCACGATGCACCAACATGCAGTAGAATTAGTCTACTGAGCATCAAGTGCCTCGTGTAGATGCACTCACTGAAAAGTATCTGTTAGCCACAGTAACTGACCTGCTCAAATTTGGCTCAAAAAGCTGGGTGGTATTGTGCCTCTGAAAGACTTCACTATGAATGAACCTAGGGTTACTAGGCACCATGTGGGGTTACTAGGAATAATGGCCACAAACTGTTAGAGAGAAGGTTCAGGCTGGACATCAGGAGACATTACTTTACAGTTAGGGCTGCCAGGCTCTGGAATGGGCTCCAAAGTGAGGTGGTATTCTCTCCTACCTTGGGGGTCTTCAAGAGGAGGCTGGACAGATATTTGGCTAGGGGTGATATGACCCCGGCACCTGTTTCTGCCTGGGGCAGAGGGTTGGACCTGATGATCTGTTTAGGTCCCTTCTGACCCTAAGCACTATGATACTATGAACCCAGATAAGGCAAGGTAAGTGGAAAAGGGATTATCCCCTGTGAAATTAGACAAGTTTTTTTAACTTTATGCATCTAGAAAAGGATTGTCAGAACTAACAGGAGGCACACATATCAAGGACAAGAGGTATATCTGAGAATATGTCATTCAATAGTTCAAAGTCCTGGGAAAAGCAGCAGCAACAGGATGCAAGAGCCACAGGTTGAATTGGTTGCCAGGAAAGATATTTTTTGTTTCTCTTTTCCACTATTTAAGCCATCTGGCTTACGCTGCTTAAAGCTTATTGTTTCTCTGGACACAAATGACAAGTTCATGCTATAGACTAATTGTATAGTAAGGCAGATATGATAGTACTATGCAAAATAAATTTTGCAGGAATGGTAAGTCAGTCAGTCACACCTACCATTTCCCACAACAAAAGCTGAATGGTATGTTCAAGTCTATTGAAGAGAGATCTAAAGTTAGCAGTTTAAAGATGGATTAATGCAGTTGTTCTCAACCTTTTTAGATTAAAGGCACTCCTCATTAGACTCAAGACACCCGTCCATAACTTTTGTGAATTAAGCAGCACCTCATTTAAAAACATTAAACTTATTTATTACAGTGCTTATTACCTCCTTGCTGAAGGGCTGGGCAGTGAAGTCAGGGGAACAGCTAAGCACACAAGAGCCTGAGCCTGTGCTTATCTGAATGTCTCCTCACATTTCTCTCAGCACCTTTCAAAGGATCTTACAGAGCCCTTGGGTGCCCCAACATCCTGGTTGAGAATCCCTGAATTAACAGAAATACTCTTTTTTCCAATAACAGAAAGCTAATCTGTAAAAATCATTGTCACAAGATATTACTGAAGCCACAATCTAGACAGGATAGAAAAAGGATTAAATATTTTTTACAGATAATATATATCCTTGGTCACATTATACGTGCCCTCACACTTGAGGGCATAAGCCAATTTTTAACTAACAGTAGGTTAAAACAAAACTTGCCTTCACCAAGCAGCAGAACACCCACAGATTGGCACTGGGAGTTCTAGATGGTGGAATTATTCTATACCTCCTAACATGACATTTTACTGTGATAATCATTTAATACCCAGAACAACCCTTGATTTACAAATACTAAAGGTATTTATGTATTTATTAATGTAAAATTTAATTTTAAGATTTCCTGTTTTTTATTTTTACTCATAAGTAATTTTCACCCTGCTGTGGTGTCAAGACACCAGATCCTTACTATTGAAAACCATGTAATGATTCCCGAAATGGGCACATAGCTGCTTGAAAAGTTCTCCACTACTGGGTATATTTTGTTCAAATTAGAGGTTGTTACTGAAGCTATTATACTCTTTATTGTATAACCTAGCACTTTCATTTTTTTAAGAGAAGAGGACAATGGGACTCTCTTAACAGACACATGGGCACAGGATCATAGGCGAGTCATACTATTCTACACTGAACTTGGAAAAAAAGAGAAAATAAAAGTGAAATGGTCCACTCTCAAAATAAACACTATGTCTTTCATTGCTGTGGTATTTAAGATGAAAAAGCCCCTTTTGACCTTGTTTGGGAGTGTTCAGTTGATCAGCCAATGGCAATGTGGTTTTGTGAGAAGTACCTTATTTCATCTTATAAATACTACTGCCAGTAAATGTTTGGTATATTTATATTATGCTTTGTTATTAAAAAATGATGCTGAACTAGACAGAACTTCTCTGATTGTTCAACCATGTACTACTGTCTTTAAAACAAGAATAAAAATTTTAAGGATGGCAATTTATATTAACTTTCTTGCAAATAACAGAGTAAGCATAGCTAAGAACACAGGCTTGTTCTATTTAGCTTCTTATTCTGTGTCCATCACTATGTTATTGGAGCAATTTAGTAGCTAGCTTTTAACAAAATGCTATGGATTTTTTAAATATTTATATTCTCATACTACATTTTCCTCTTTAAAACTGAAATTCACCGCTGGCATACACCACACTGGCACAGAGAAAGAAAAGACCGGTGCTGAATTGCTGGACAGCTCCTTCAATGCAGTGATGCAACCACCTAAACAAGAAAAGAACTTTGGCGTGAAGAAATAAGTACAGCAGGGGTTTTCAACCTTTTTGGATCAGTGTACCCCTGGTAGCCAGACACAGAGAAGTGTGCCCCCAGCGGCTGCACATGGAGCGGGGGAAGGGAAGAGTGGTGCATGGTTGGATGTGGAGTGGTGGCAGCTGCCGCATGTAAGCCCCTGCCCCCCACGTCCAGCTGGAAGGGTGGTGCCTGCGTGGCACCACGGGATAGTGTGTGGCAGTACTCCATCCTTGCCTGCCTGCACGTACCCCCCTAGTGCCTTCTCGAGTACCCCCAACTGACAACCCCTGAAGTACAGGATGGGGACCAGGAAGAAGGATGCATTCATGTTACTGATGAGGCATACATAAGACTATAAAATGGTAGGAAAGGAGGAAAACATACCTTTCATCATCTTATTCTCCAATACAGATTCAGAAAAACCCTTATCATGTACTTGGGGATGTATTTGGTAGCTGTATTGGTGTGAGACAAAAAGAAATGGAAAACTCCAGAACTCTTGGTTCAGAGATGATATCTTTTTATTAGACTAAGAAATTGCAATATATATTTCCTGCAAGCTTTTGGGCACACATGCCCTTCCTCAGGCTCAGGGAAAATTAAAGATGGTAAATTTTGAAGTATTACCTTCTGCCATTCAAGTCAACAGAAAAAAAATTGCACTTCTTGAATGGCACAGGATCAGGTCTTTCGCACTTCCACAGATATCCATCACTATGCATCTAGGTAATGGAAAATCCTTCAAGGAGATCATCAACACATCTGACATTGTTCCCTGTTTGTTTTTTAAATAAAGAAAACAGAGTCCAGTTACTCAGAAAGAGGATAGCTTGGGTTTATAAATGCTGCTGCTAAGCATTTCAAAGACAAGATATTATTACTGACTAGTCAATATTAAATGGACACTCAGAAACAAGTAAAAGCTGTATCATTTTATTTTAACATGCTATGTTAAAAAAAAAGATAGACACCTACTTTATTCCTTCCTGATACAGCTTTGAACAACTTACTGTCAAATAATTTCATTGAAAACAATTACCTGGGGGCATTTTCCATATTCCCCTTTCAATTTTAATATATAATATTTGCAATTTGGATAATGGTTACCATGGGATTATCAGTGACTTCCTACTTCATGTCTGATATTACAGGTGAAAGATAAAGCAACAACCGTTGCAAAAACCTGAATAGATATCACTCCCTCCTGCTCTATTCAACTGGTCAAACTACTGCCATTTTTTTTAAACAAGATAATGTCTGTATTCAACATCTTAACACCTATTGCAAGCATTGCCTCCCCTCTACAACAATCAATGCATGAAGTAGAATCTACTTTCACCTGTACAGATCTCACTGTCGGGAGGTTTTTGGAAGTCATCTCAGTGTTCTTGACAAGGCCATTGCTCCTTGAAAGTTATATTTTATATTAAAGTTCCTCAGTATTTCTAGCAGTATTTCATATGGCTTTACCAGGAAGAAATGTCTATAGAAACAGCATTCACTAATCCACAGTATTCAAAATAATAAGGCTAAGTTAAAAGTTTATTTAATTGCTGTGCCTACTAAGTAACTATTTTAAATATTTGGCAGGCAGATTCCTTCTCATTTATGCATTAGGAATATCTATGTAATAAACTGCACTGATAATGTGAGTCTGTCCACCAAGCTGTATTCTGCTTGCTTATTTATCTACCGGTGGGCTTCCAGATGTTCCAAATTCCTGAGTAACTTTAAACAACCAACAAGGATATAGTAGGGAAAGGGGTCCTTTCTAACACTATGTGGCAGATAGACAAATGGCTCAAAAACTACAAGCAACGGGTAATTACAAATGGATCTGTGTCAGAATGGCGGGTGGCTTCAAGTAAAGTCTCTCAGGGGGCTGTCCCGGGCCCAGTGCTGTTCAACATAATAATTTGGATGCTGGAATTGAGAGCTCCTTGAGAAAGTTTGCAGAAGACACAAAACTGCAAATGACTGCAAACAACCTGAAGGACAGGAGTGCAATTCAGAGGGATCCTGATAAATTGAAAAGCTGTGCCCAAGCTAAGAGGATGAAGTTCAGTGCTGAGAAATGCAAGGTACTATACCTCGGGAAGAATAATAAAAAATACAAATACAAAACAGGTAACACCTGGATGGATGGCAGCACTACAGAGAAGAATCTGAGAGTCTTGGTAGATCACAGATTCAATACGAGTCTGCAATGCAGCTGCACAAAAGGCAAATGTGGTTTTGGAATGCATCAATAGAAGAAACATTAGGTGAAAGATATGGGAGGTGATACTTGGTACTGGCTAGGCCTCATCTACAGCAGTGTTCTTGTGAAGGTTATGTAGGTGGGACTTCAATTCATTGCCTACTTGAAAAAAATCAGTTGCTTGCACTTCAAATAGATGAATCAACAGATATCTTGAACAGTGCAATTGTGTGGCGTTTTGCTTTTCTCATGGTATGACCAGGGTTTTTTGACAAAACGGTTGGTGGGGTGTAAGGTGCAAAAGATTGAGAACCACTGATCTGGAGTACTGTGTGCAGTTTTGGGCTCCGTATTTTAAAAAGGATACGGAGAAGTTAGAAAGGGTTCAGGCTGTGCAAGTGACAAAAATGATAAAGGGCTTGGAAGACAAGTCATAGGAAGAGAAGTTGAAGGAAATAGGCATGTTTAATTTGCAGAAAAGGTACTTAATAGAGGACATGATAACAGTCTTCAAATACCTGAAGGATTGCCACAAAGAAGAGGAAAAACATCTTCTCTCTCTTGTTGTAGAGTATAGCACATGGACCAACAGCTTGGAAAAAAACTTCACTGTTTCCAGTGAGACAATAGAATAGATTTCCTAGGGAAGTTGTGGACTCTCCATCACTGGAGGACATCGAGAAGAGGTTGGACAGGCATTGGTAATGGATGATTTAGGAGTAGCTATGCCTAGGCTCTACTATGGATACCTCTGGGCCTTGTTTGTTGCCACATGAGACCAGGAGGGAATTTTTTTTCCTCCTTCTGATGCTACATGTGTCAGATTGATTCTTTTTACCTTCACCAAGGCTGGAGATTGTGACATGGGCATGCCAGTGCTGCTGCTGGGACTCGAACCCAGAGGTTCCTTGCTAGAGGGCCTTGCCCCTCCACTCAGGTCAGACTGACTGCCATATTTGGGGTCAGGAATTAATTTTGCCCTATGGTTAGTTTGGTGCAGACTGTGGAGTTTTTTACCTTCCTCTGTGGCACAAAGCATGACCGTCTTCCTTGAATCTCTCAAGTTGTTTTTGGCAACCTTGCAACAGCAGGACATAGGCTGCAGTGGTCCCTCTGCTTTACCTGTGACAGGTTAGGGTACTGTACCTTGTGGTTTTGACATTGTTGCTTGTGTGGTTTTGTTGTTTATTTGGTTAGTTAGATAATGGATTTGTGCAGCATGGTTTGACTAGGGGTGGTCCTGCCTCAGGTAAGGGGTTGGACTGGGTAACCTCTAGAGGTCCCTTCTAACTCTGCTTCTCTATGAACCTGCGATTCTACCATTTGCCTCATGTTGCTTTCTAAAATTATCATAATTTGAGGCTCATGATATTTTTTTATGTATGAAAATATTAGTTTAAGAAATTTCCAAATTGTATTTGTTGTCATTTCCCTCTTAATATGAGAATTCTATACAACTGACCTCACATAATACTAAGCCATCTGACTACAGATGGAGGTATATGAAAAATGAAAATAAAAATGCACCAATCTCCAAGTTATTTCTAAAGCCTTTTTCTATAAAGTATGCTGGGAGACAACTTGAAGAATACATAAGCATGTGGTGAAAATGTAAAGGTTTTTCTTACTTGATCTTGAATTGGATTGACCTGCCTAATTCACTTGTGACTTTACTGCATAAGAATCATGCAATCATCTGAAGATGAAGCAATAAAACCTTAACCAGAAGACCATCATCTATTTTTGCTCATACCCACTGACACTACTGTAGGTTATAAAATTACAATCAATATCTTAAGAGAGGGTTGCCCAGCTTCTAAGCAGTCACGGGCCAAATGCCCTGTGGGCCACTCCAAGGCAAGCCACAGATTCCCCAGGCTGCATGTCATGCACTTGTCCACTCCTGCCCCACTGCTGTACCACACACCTGAACGCCCAACACCTGCTGCACTACATTCCTTTGCAGGCACTCCTCCCATCTGTGTTGCACCGCATGCATGTTTTCTCTCCATTTCCTCCTCCACTGCACCTTTTGTGTGGCTTCAGGCTCACCCTTACCTCTGCAAGCCATGCTACACCACACTACTCTGCGCCCTAGGACAGAGGTAGGCAGTAACAGCTAGAGGAGGGAGAAAAAGCCCAGAGACTCTGCTGTTGCAGCTGGTGAGATAGGGAGAACAGTGGCCAGGAAGGAACCTGGGGGGCCACAACTTAACCCCTTATTGGACACATGAAGTCTGTGGGTTGCCAGTTGAACAACCCTGCCTTAAGAACAAAAAGCTTTCCAAACATGCATCTGTAAACTTGTGCCTTTTCAACCCCATTAACTGCTTACTGAAAAAATATGTCCACCATTTGTTAAGTATTTTGTCTCTGTAGGTTTGTGAGAAGCAACTTCCTTTGCATATTGGTATCCACATTCGTCCAGATCTCCATTCCTTTACTGGTCCTACAACTTTAATAGGAAAGGCTCTTCACCAACATAGAAAGAAAGAGAAGGAAAAAATAATCTGTACTCCATGAATGTCATGATTTCTAGAGGTGCACCAATAGAGATTTTGGGGGCCGATAGCAATAGTCAATTTTTAAGGAGGCATATCAGCTGATACCAATCCAATTTCCAATACAGCTGCATGCAGCTGGTAGGGCTGTTGTGGTGAATGGGGAGGGGAGAGGGAAGGGGCATGCAGGGGCAGATCAACATCTCTCACAATGAGGGAGGAGTGGGGCTGGGGTAGGCTTTGCCCAACCAGAGTGGGGCAGGTGTGGGATGGAGCCATGGATGCTCTGGGTGGTGGTGGCTCACACCGCTGGTCTGGGAGAGGCTAATCTGCTTGTTCAGCAACCACTACTAGTTGTCCAGGAGGCGGGCTGGGAGGGGGGGGCATGTGCCTCCAGATCTGAGTGGGGCAGAGTGAGCTGCAGCTGTGGGGCGGGGCTGGGGTGCCACATTGTGCTGTGCTGGGAATGGGCGCCGGCGGCGCTGGGAGCATGGCCCCAGCCTGCAGCTGCAGCCCACCCTGTACAGTTCCGGGGACACATCCCTCCCTGCCACCCCCCCGGACAAGTGGCATGAGCAGCAGCAGGAGCTGCTAGACAAGCGGACGAGCCACTCTCAGACAAGTGGCACACAGTAGTGGGAGCCGCCACCTCCCTGCCATCCGGATGAGCCGCGGCTCCGTCCTGCACCTGCCCCGCCCCGGCAAAGCCCACCCCAGCCCCA